GGGGCCTGTAAATCTGCATTTCAGCAAACTCCCTGGGGGAGGTTCTGACCATCAGGCAGTCTTGGTCACTCTGATGTGAGCACCTTGTAGCAACGGGGGCCATACAGGGCTGTGGACCAGCAATGGCAGTCAATTCTGATGGGATTGGGGGATTAGGTAAAGCTTCACGGGGAGGATGTGCCTTAACTGGGTCGCAAAAGATGTGCTGGCTTGTCACTGGGATGACCAGCTGCCATCAAGTCAACTCTGACTTATGGTCACCCCACGTGTCAGTCAGAGTAGAACTGGGCTCCACAGTGGAACTTAGTGGCTGAATCTTTGGAAGGAAATCACCAGGACTTTCTTGCTAGGCACCTCTGGGTGATCGTAAAAATCCAAACTTTCAGTTATTAGCCAAATGCGTTAACTCCAGGAAGCTCACACAGGAATAAGGAAGGTATTCCAGGTGGCAGATGAGGGTTGAGTAAAGTTCCGGGGGTGGGATGTGTCATTTTGGGAGGGGCCGATGGGCCACAGTGTATGGGAAGAGAAGGAGAAGGAAGGAGGGGGAATGACGAGGCTCGGGGCATTTTTCCGGCTAGAGGTGTTGTCTGCCCAGGAGAGGGTTAACCAGAGCCGCCCAGTCCACTCAACTTCCACCTCTGTCTGTCAGAGGAAATGGGTTTTCCAGGAGCTGATTCTGGGCCGGTGGTGACTTGTGGCTCCACATGGGATGGCAGAGGAAGTGACTCAGGGCCCCGGGGGAGAAAGTGAGCTGTGGGCCCCCTGCCCCCTGCTACCCACCCCCCACCCCCCACCCCCCTGCACCATACGGAAGGGCAGGGCTGGGCCTGAGCTGGAGCCCTTTGCTGGGGTGCAGGTAGTTCTGGGGTGAAGATGGGGATCTGGTCGGACAAGTCCCAGGCCCCTTCTGTGCCTGGATGTCCCTGTGTTGGTGACTCCATTGTGTGGGACTAGGCCAGTACATTCTGTTCTCCGTGTTTACGGAAGGCCTGAGGTCAAGGGCAGCCTCTCAGGAAGGGAAGGTGGGGTGGGTGTCCCCTCAGGGGCTCAGGCCCAACCCCTCTCTCCCAGCCTGGAATCCTCACACCACCTGTGGCCCTGGCCGCCCTCCCCGTTTATCTCCTAAGGACCAAGCCAGGGGAGCGTGGCTCTCTGGGACCCTTAAACCAGCTCTGAGAGGGCCACCCATCTGGCTTGGGTGGGTGAGGACACGTCTTCTGGAGTAAGACCAAGTTCGTTCCCTGACACCTCTCCTGGGGGATCTTGGTAGCAGGACCAGCCTCACAGGGTGGCTCTGACCATAAATGTGATCTTGCTGTTCCTGTGGTGTTGCTAGAACATCGCCTTCCCAGGGACTCCCCTGGCACTGGGGGCCTCTCTGGCCAGGGTTGTTTCTGACAGGACTTGATGGCTTGAGGCCAGTCTGTCCAGTTCACAGTTGCAGAGGCCAGGGGCTAGGCCTGTGTGGAAGCTCCCGTATGGGGTCCTGGTTCCTGGTTCTGGGTTCTAGCCTTCAGAACAAAGCCTGTCCCCTGCCCTCCACCTTGTCACAGACACAGCTGTGGAAGAGGAGGTGGGCTGGGCATTGGGAAGGTCCTCCGGTGGGTGTGGTGGGAGGAGCAGTCCCAAGCGCACACTCAGGACGGTGCCTCCCGCTGCGGTCTGGGCTGGGATCTCACGGCCCCCAACCCAACGTCCCTGTTCCTCGGCAGGTTCTGGAACAGCCATGCCAGAGCTGCCAGGAGGGAAGTTTTCTGGGTGGGGTTCTAGCCTTCCCTTTGCCCTCCCGGAAAGGAAGTTTCATGCTTGAAGCATTTCCCCTCAAGGAACTCAGAGGATGAGCTGGTGTGAGGGAGGCATGCAGAGGTGGGGGAAGAAGGCAGTAAGGGGGCGTGGGGGACTGGGCCGTGGCCAGCGGGGTGGGGAGAGTTGAGTTAGGGCAGCGTGAAGGAATGGATAGACGATACACAGAGCCAGATGTTCAGTTTACATCCATGGTGCCTACCATGTGCACGGCCTGGCCTGTTCTAAACCCTTCACAGGAATCAATTCTTTTAATTCTCACAACTGCCCCTGAGGTAGGCTCTATTTTAATTCCAATTTACAGGTGAGGGAGGTAAAGCCCAGAGAGAGTGAACAACTAGCCCAAGGACACACAGCTAGTGAGTGAGGAAACTAGGATTTTAACCCAAGCCCTCTGGCTCCAGAGTCCACTCCATTGACTGCCATGAAGTCGTTTCCGACTCATACTGACCCTCGTTGAGTTTCCGAGGCTGTAAATCTTTATGGATTGTCCCGTCTTCCTTCTGTGGAGCAGCTGGTAGGTTTGAACCGCTGAACTTTCAGTTAGCAGTCAAGTACCTTATCCACCACACCACCAGAGCTCCTTCTCCATTGACTAAGGGTGGGTAAAAGGAAGCCAAACTGCCCCTGAAGACCCCTGAGAATGCCAGTGGGGACAGAGTTGTCTACCCTGGAGCAGCTGTTGAAACAGCTGGGGTGGAGGGGGCATGACCCAGGAACCATCAGGGTCAGACAGCCTTTTCCATGAATCTCTTTCATGACACCCCACGGTGGTGTGCCCTCACTTGTGTCTGTTCACTGACAGACAGCTCCCTCCTGCTTCCACCACTCCAGGAGAGCTGATGCAAGGAAGATGGCCCCCACTCACTGCCGCTGAGTCAATTCCAACTCATAGTGACCCCCATTGAGTTTCCGAGGTGGTAAATCTTTACAGAAGTAGATTGCCCAGTCTTGCTTCCGTGGAGTGGCTGGGATGTTTGAACCATCAACCTTCTGATTAGCAGTCAGATGCCTTAGGCACTGTGCTACCAGAGCTCCTTGGGCCTTGTATCTAGACACCATAAAATGGGGCTTTGGGGCCAGTGCTCAAGGTGATATGCAAGCTATAGGTGTACAGTACAGTGAGCACCTGAGAGCTGCCTGGAGGTGGTGACACTTGGAGCGTGGCCTGAAATTGTACAGCAACAGAAACTGGCAGAAAGGAGAAGGAAAGAGGGGGTCTGGGATGGATGCTGGGTTTCCTTCTGCTGACCTGTGATGGCGGGAGGCAGTTTCGGAAGGAACTAAAATGCTTAGAGAAGATGCAGAGTGAAACTTTACCATCACAGCTTCAGAAATGGCGACTATTCCCCAAAATACTTTCACATCCTTCCTCTTCAGGGGTTTTGTGATGCTACCAGGGCAAAATGAGGATTCCATTTGACATATGATCAGGCTGATGAGGTCTGAGAAATTGGGATTTCACTACTCATGGTAGGACATTGGGAAACGGCTCTGACTTAGAGGAGCCAGACTGGTTAGAGGGAGAACTGGTCCAGGAAGCTGACAATGAGTTCCAACGAGGGACAACCCTCCCTGTGATGCTGCCCTCAAACATGCAATTCAAATATCACCTCTTCCTAGAAGTCCACCTTGGTTTCTCCCAAACATAGATTCCTTGTGTGTCTCCAGGGTGCCAGACCTCCCTTTGTTTGGCCTGTAGCAGATGGTTGCATCTGTCACCACCACCAGATGTGGTGACCCCCAAGATGCCTGTCCATCCCTATCTTCCCTCAACTCTGTCACAGGGCTGGGCAGCAGCTGGCAGCAGAGAGGGCCAAGCCTCCTGGTATCCCTTTACAAGTGCTAAAACTCGGGCTCCTGGACAGGTGCTAAAATCCTGACCAGGGAGGGAAAGCCCCAACCTCTGGAGCAATCTTGGGCTAGTTGTTTAACTCCTTGGGCCTCAGGTTACCTGTCTGTGATATGGGCCAACAGTGATGCCTACTTCATAGGTTAGAGTGAGGGTTAATGCATATGTGGGGGTGTGGGGAGGTCAGTATAGAGGCGGGCAGATAGTAGTAGCTGCTTAGCTAATGGAGGCCCTGAGGCAGCAGAGGTGCCCATTCTACGCTGGGATGGAAGGTGCTGGCCTCCCATGACTCAGTCCATTGGGCCACCAGGAGTTTCAGTCTCTGCAGAGACTGAAATGGCCCTCTGTTGTTCCAGCAGCCAGGGTCCTAGGAACTGGCTCCCTCTGGTGATTATAACAGGAAGTGCGCTTTCCCTCTAGGCCCTATAGAGGGCGCTATGAGCATGTTGCTCCTTCACTCACTCCATTTCCTTCGCCCAGACGCTCCCGCAGCCTTTATCCAGTAATGTCTGCACCAAGGCCAGAGCATCTAAATGAATTAGGAGTTCTGGCTGCCAGAAGAAGGAACACACCATCCCACATTGACTAGAGAGGCCTAACAGTGGGGGTTGTGTTGAGTGGTGGAAACCAAAGGAGGTCAGGACTGACGCTAAGTTGATGAAGTTTTCCTGGAGGAGGTGTCCTCTGAGCTAGTTCTCTGGGGTGATGGTGGTGAGGGTCCTGGGGGAAAACCCTGAGAACCTTATTTCTTCTGTATCTCCTCCAGACCTGATGGGGGTGGGGTCGTGGTAGTTCTAGGTGGCATTGCAAACACTAGATAAGACCATCCCCTCACTCCTGGGCCTGGGGGGGGTACTATTATTGTCCTCACTTTTGGCAGGGAGCTCTGGTGGCATAGTGCTTAAGGCGCTGGCTACTAACCAGAAGGCTAGCGGTTCAAACCCACCAGTCACTCCTCAGAAGGAAGGTTGGGTAATCTACTTCCGTAGTGATACCGCCTCCGAAACCCAAGGAGGGGTCGCTATGAGTCAGGTCTGACTTGATGGCACACAACAGCAAACAACCACCACCACCACCATTTTTGGCATCTTACACAGTATCCTGCAGCAAGAGAGAGTTGCAGCTGGGCCCTGAACTCAGCCGAGCTCCGGACGCTACTGCCTGTTGATGCTCAGCTTCTGGCCGCTCTGAGGAGGTCCAGGGGCTCTCCCACACTTGCCTCCTCACCTCACTACACTGGGCTGGCCCTCTGCAGGGCCGGCCCAGCTGCCCTGTGCGCCCTTGGCTAACACTCCTGGTCTATTTCAGGTGGTGACTTACAGTGTGACTTCCAGGGAGGAAGATGGCTGCCCAAGTGCTGCTGCAGATGGCGCTATTGGTGCTGGTCATGCTCCTGGTCCAAGGTAAGGCTTTCCAGAGGGCTGCTGTGATCACAGTAAGACACTCCCATGTCTAAGACAGCTACCAGAACATACCACCACCCTTCTGGGCAGGCACGAGCCTGCAGGCACAGTTTAGCAAGTGGATGGTGCTTTGCAGAAAAGAAAAAGGGACCGCTTTCTCTGGATAGAAGGAGCTCTGGTGGCATTGTGGTTAAAGCATTGGGCTGCTAACCAAATGGTTGGTGGTTCAAATTCACCAGCTGCTCCGTGGAAGAAAGATAAGATTTACAGCCTTGGAAACTATATAGGACAGTTCTACTCTGTCCTCCAGGGGCAGAGGACAATGAGTCAGAATCGATTTGGTGGCAGTAGGTTTTGGGTTTTGATTCTTCTGATTGGTGCAGCCCCACACCAGGGTGTATGGCTTGGGCTGGGGAACGTGGGTTGGATTTCAGCCTCAGTCAGAGCATCCTTGTGCAGTGCACAGCCTGCACAACTGTCCTTGGCAGCCTTTGCTTCCACAAATATTTTATTACAATTAAAAAATTATTTTTGCCTTTGAAATTATGATGAATTTTGATTTAGCTCTTTTCTTCTTACATTTTAAAGCCAGTGATTTTTGAGGAGGTAGACTCATGCGTTTTTGCAGACCCTTTGAGGTGTGGAACGTGTGTGAATCCCAGGGCTAGGCCGTGTTCTGGGCCGAGGGCCTGCCCTCTCTCATGTCCCCAGCTTGCCCTGCCCCTGAGCCCCACCTCCAGCCTCTGTCTTCCTCAGGTGCCCTTGGCGGGAGCTCTCGGGAAGACTTCCGCTTCTGCGGCCAGCGGAACCAGACTCAGATGAGCGGCCTCCAATACGAGCAGACATCAAAGCTGCACATCTCCATCAAGAACACCAAGGGGGCTCTGACAGTGCGCGCCCCCTTCCCTGCAGCCTCTGGGGCTTCCCGAGTCCTCCCTGACCGCAGGGGACTCTACCACTTCTGTCTGTACTGGAGACGACACGTTGGGAAGCTGCACCTCCGCTATGGCAGGAACGACTTCTTGCTGAGTGACCAGGCCTCAGACCTCCTATGCTTCCAACAGCGGAATGAGAGCTCAGAGCAAGGCCCCCTCCTGCTCGCCACATCCTTCCGCTCCTGGTGGAGTCCCCAGAACACCAGCCTGCCCAGTGCTACTGACTTCACCTTCTCCTTCCACGGTAAGGGGACTTCAGGCGGAAAGGAGAGGGGCAAAGGCCCCGAGGCAGGAAGGCAGGCTTGGAAGTGGCCTGGGCTCAGGTTGGGCTTTGTTCACAGGTGGTGGGGAGCCCCTGAAGGCATCTGAGCAGGAGTAGGATGTGACCTGAGGTTTGATTCTGGAAGCTTTGTGGGAAGGTAGGGGTGAGGCTGGAGGGGCAAAGTCCCATCCAAAGGCTTCAGGGAAGCTCCAGCATGGGAGAATGAGGTCCAAATGGGGACAGGAGTAAAGGGAATCATTGTAGATTACTTGTCCCCATTTCAGAGGGGAGAAACTGAGGCATGGAGAGGCTGCCCAGAGCCACACAACTCTTAGTGGGGGAGCCAGGATCTAAACCCAGCAGCTGATTGGCTTGAGGTAGGGGATGGATACAGTAAGAGAGGTCTAAGATTTGACGGCCTTACAGGGGTCTAGATTTCCCTGAGGAGCTCTGGTGCCACAGCGGTTAATGCATTCAGCTACTAAACAAAAGATCGGCAGTTCAAACCTGTCAGCCACTCTGTGAGAGAAAGATGAGGCAGTCTGCTTCCATAAAGATTTACAGCCTTGGAAACCCTATGGGGCAGTTCTGCTCTGTCCTATGGGGTTGCTATGAGGTGGAACCTACTGGAAGGACTGTTTGGTTTTAGACTGGCCTGCTGCTGGTTGCTTTTAGGCAGCGCTGGTTTGGGCGGGGTAGGGGTCCAGCACATGGAAAATGTTAGCAGGCCCAGCCCCCTGAAATAGCTGGAGGGCACAGTGGGCAGGGGTGATCAGACGGGGCTCCCCACTCCCAGCTGGGATCGTGCCCCTACTGGGGAGGATTTGGGACAAAGTTGAGCAGAGTTACAAGTTCGCATTCTGAGAACAGCCCAGGCCTGATCTGGTTTGGTCTGTGGAGTGTTTTTTTTTTTTTTTTAAAAAAAAAGGAGCCAAGAGTTTCAAATCCCCTAAAAAAATCAGGCTTTCTGGCTTGTAAATTCAGAAGCTGGGGCTACATAGGGCCTTGATGGCAGAGAGCAGGTCTCCTCCCCAGGTGCCAACATCCCACATCCCTGTCCCGGTCTTCCCACCTCACTGGAGCCCTTGCCCAGCCCCTGAAGACGCTGGGTCTGCAGCCCTGAGAAGGGGGCCGGAGCCTGGGGACAGGGAGGTCAGTGGGTATGGCGTTCACCAGAAGGTGGCCAGGCTGGGCTGAGCCCTGGGATGGACTTCAGGTTCCCCGGGTGCAGACGAAGGGTGCCTGGGTAGGGTGCTAGGCAGGCTGTACCCCACCCCAGGCTGCTAGGCTGGAGGGCCTGGAAGGGCTGGAGGTTAGCCCCCATCTGGCTGACCTCATCTCTCAGTAGCCTTAGGTGAGTCCCTGCCACCCCTCAGAGCCTGTTTCCTCTTCTGTAATGCCTCACTGGTGAAAACACTCAGAGGCCTGGTGAGGCTCAGTGGGAGAGTAATTGGTGTGGCCCGGCTCCTCCATCAACAACCCCGGGCCTAGGGTCTGTCTATTCCTCCCCCAGAGCCTCCCCAGAAGGCCTCCCACGATGCCTCGGTGGACATGTGTGAGCTGAAAAGGGACCTCCAGATGCTCAGCCAGCTTCTGCAACATCCCATGAAGAGCTCAAGGAGGCCCTCAGCCACCCCTGCCCGGCAGTGAGTGGGGCTGCCCGGGGGTGGGGGTGGGGGAGGCGCCAGCCAGACCTGGCCCTGGGCGTGTGCGGACCTGGGGCCCGGAGGCAGGTTTGAAAGCCTCTGCCGGGGTTGGAAAGTTCTCTGAACTTCTCTGGTTCGTCTTCTCCTGGAGTTGCTGAGACACCCCCTGCCCCAGGCTGAGCCCCTCACCCATCTGAGCCAGTAAAAACAACTCATTCACACCTACAATTGGCCCATTTGAGAGCTCAGCAGACTGACACCCCAAGATGGGCGGGGCTGCCCCTGGCCCTGGGGTGGGTCAGTCCAGGCAGAACCGGCAGTTCCAGGAGCTGATTCCCAGGCTACCGCCCCACCTCCATCCCCACCTCCACCCCGGCCTTCCTTCTTCCCTGTTCTCCCGGTCTCTGCTGCTCCAGCCTCCTCTCTGGCCCCACCTGCTCTCTCTCTCTCTCTCTCACTCACCTGGCTATTCTGCTCTTCTCCCTAGCCCCTCTCCCACTCGCTCTGCCTGTCTCCTCCTTCTGTACCTGCCCGAGTCTCTGCTCCCGTCTCTCTCTCTCTGCCCATCTCCCCTTGCCCGCCAGGACCCCTCTGCCATAGTCATCCACCCCCTCCCTCCACTGCACCAGGCACCTGCAGAGCCTCGAGTCGAAGCTGACCTCTGTGAGATTCACGGGGGACACGGTGTCCTTCGAGGAGGACCTGGTCAATGCCACAGTGTGGAAGCTCCATCCCACGGCTAGCCTCCAGGACCTGCACCTCCATTCCCGGCAGGAGGTCAGGGCCAGGCCAGGGCTGGGCCAGGGCTGGGCCAGGGCAGGAAACAGACATGGGGCCATGGAAGTGGAGGGTGGGGGCAGTGCTTCTCCTCAGCTTTGCCCTGGGCTCTCTGGGGGGTGGAGGTAGGCTGACAGAAAGGCCCACGGGCTCAAGGATAACTCTCCTTAGTCAGGGGCCAGCACACAGTGCTGAAGACCCAAGAGTAGGTGCAGAGGGGTGTGTGTGCGGGGGGCGGGGGACCACTTCTAGCACCAGGGGCTCCTGGGACACACCCTTGTGAATGGAAGACCAACCCCACATGCCTGATGCACCTTTGAGTGGGCCCAGTTAGCTGCCTGTGAGGCCTGCCATCCCAGGTGCTATAGGCAGGGTGGGGTCTGAAGCCCTGGACAACTGAACAGCCAGATGATTCTCTGGACTGTTTGCCCCTGGGCCCCTGGCTCTAACCACAAGGCTCCCCAGCAGAGCTGATGCCAAGGAGGGAGAGGTGATAAGGGCTGTGGTGAGTCACCATGGCTTCCTGGAAGAGGCGGGTTAGAGATGGTAGCACCTGGAAGAGGTGTGCTGGGGGCTGGGGGTGCATCCCTGGCTGAGCCCTGAAGGCACTCTGGTTTGGCAGGAGGAGCAGAGTGAGGTCCTGGAGTACTCGGTGCTGCTGCCACGCCTGCTCTTCCAGAGGGCCAAAGGCAGGAGAGGGGAGGCCGAGAAGAGACTCCTTCTGGTGGACTTCAGCAGCCAAGCCCTGTTCCAGGTATGAGGCCTTCACCCTCATGTCCTGCCCTGGAGAAAACAGTTTCTGATGGAGAGATAGAAGGAAAGCATACAGCCAAGCTCCGCTTTTCAGGAGTCAGAGTCTTTCCTTGTGCATCAGAAATTAACTGCAATGTGGAAATCTCCCTGGGAGAAGTTCAAGCAATGTAGTTCTCACTACAGTGTAAATGACTACCTGGGCAAAAAATTGTTTCCAGAAGGAGACTCAGCATCTCAGAGAAATGTGCTAAGGAGAGAGAGGAACCTAGGGACCCTAGGGAACTCCTGGACCTTTCTTCTTCAGCCCCTCTCTACTCTCTTCCCCCAACTCCGTATATCTAGGACAAGAATTCCAGCCAAGTCTTGGGTGAGAAGGTCTTGGGTATCGTTATACAGGACACCAAAGTGGTCAACCTCTCAGAGCCTGTGGTTCTCACCTTCCAGCACCAGCCACAGCCAGTGAGTATAAGAAAACAAATCACAGGGACCAAGGGTCCTTGGCTTGACCATACCCTTCTTTTCACCTCACTTATCTTTAACAAAAAGATTGCTTGGCTGAGTCTAAACTTTCTCTGCCTTGGCCTTTACAAAGGGGTGGACTGTAATGGGATCCACTCTCCTTCTTTCCTGTCCCTACAGAAGAATGTGACTCTACAATGTGTATTCTGGGTTGAAGACCCAACATGTGAGTACAGATGGGGGTTCTGGGCTGGGCAAGTATCTGGAGGAGAAAGAGGATCTTGGAGGGTGAAGATGTGAGTTAAACAGGGAAGACTCCCTGGAGGAAGGTGGGCTTTGAAGAGAATGATAGATAGCCAGCTAGGGATTTGCACTTAGGGGAGTAGAGTCTGATGGGATCCTTGGTGACTGGGCTTGATCAGAGCCACATGCTGTCCTTTCAGGGAGCAACCCAGGGAGCTGGAGTGACGCTGGGTGTGAGACCCTCAGGAGAGAGACCCAGACGTCCTGCCTCTGCAACCATCTGACCTACTTTGCAGTGCTGATGGTGAGAGGTCCCTCTTCTGCCCCCAGCCACATGACAGCTGAGTTCTTGTTCTCAGGCGGGCCCTTTTCACACATTATGTCATTTATTCCTTGTAACAAACCCTCCTCCCAGGCAACTCCTACTGTTGTACCATTTTATAGATAAGAAAATGAGGTTCAGAGAGGGTAAGCAGTTTACCCAGGGTCACACAGCTAAGAAGTGCAAGATCTAATCTGTGTAGCCCTTCTTTTTTATTCCCCAATATTTTGTCCATTGGAATCATCTCGGGAGCATGATAAAAACGCAGAGTACGTACTCAACCTAGGATTCTGATCAAGAGTCAGGGTGGAGCTGGGAGTGTATTACTAATGAGCTGCCGAGGGGGTACTGCGGCCCAGCTGGAGGCCCCTGGGGTGGGCTCCCCTGCCTCCAGGGTCATAGAAGCTTTGTGTCCCAGGTTCAGGCTCAAATTCTAGCATCTGGGGATGGTGAGCTCACTCTCTCACAGTAAATCTATTCCCATGTTGAATATTGCAGAAAAAAGTAAATGACATGCCAGAAAAGGGTTTCTACTGCAGAGTTTTTGATCTTTGTGGGCGAGGAACCCATTTGAGAGCTGTAAAACCCCCTCTAGAAAAATACACTCATGGGGACCACATTCTGCTTGAGTTCTGGGTGATGGTTCACAGCCTTCTGTTTGGGGCCCATGGTTAGCTCTCCCTAAGGGCAAACACTCAGCTCTGATTGCGGACACTGAGGCCAGCCCACTGGTCCCCTGGCCCAGGTCTCTTCTGCCGAGGTGGATACCGTGCACAAGCATTACCTGTCCCTCCTGTCCTACGTGGGCTGTGTCATCTCTGCCCTGGCCTGCATGTTCACCATCACTGTCTACCTCTTCTCCAGGTAGGGCCCAGGAGGGGTGGGAAGAAGGGAGGGAGATGCTCCCTTCCAGGCCCCTAGGCTAGGACCCCACAGCCCTGGAGACCTGCCTCAGAGATTGCCACCTACTGCTTGATCCCCAGAATGTGTATGTGGGGGTGCCATGGGGGTGCCGTCTACTGAGCCCTGGGGCCTGCATCTCTTCCTCAGATGTATGTGTATCAGCACAGCATTTAAAATTTTAATCAATTGATTAAAAACACTTAAATATTGGGAGAGTTCACATAAAAAAAAAAACAACAACTAGATTTTTGCCTTTGAATAACTAGATATGATCCCACTGGGTCCAAGTCATAATGTGGGGAAGATAATGATAACAGTGCTTGCATGACGCTACCTCTGTGCCACACACTGTCCTCAGTGCTTTACGTTATTAACTCAGTTCATCTCATAATGGCCCAGTGAGGGAGGCTCACAGAGGGTAAGTGATTTATCTGAGGCCGCCCAGTGAGGAAGTGGCAGGGGCAGGCCTCAAAACCAGCAGAGCTGAGCGACCCGACCGCTGTGGATAGGCATAATCCTGCCAGTTCTCTGTAGCTCCCCCTCCCTGGTGACTGTTTTGAGGCCTGTCCCCTATAGGTATTTGAGTTTGACCCTCCTCCATGGGGCTGCTGTTATCCCAGTCCCAGGTGAGTTCCTTGGGGGAGGAGGAGCCGCAGGCCAAGCTTTTGATGGAGTGGAGAACACTTGCACTCACCCCCACAACAGCCAGGGGGTGCCGTGGGGGGGTCCTGGATTGTCAGTGCTTGGCTTGCACTGTCAGTCAGTCCAGCTGCAATCAGCTCTGGGCCTGTGTGGGTGGATGGGAGACACCCTTAGTTCTGTGGACACCGGGAGTGTCCTCACTGTCTTTGACACTTGCAGGGAAGGAAGACCTGTGTGCATGTGTGTGTGCACATACATATGTGTATATGTGCTTGTGTCATATGTGTCCATGGCTGCACATGCAATGGGACTGGAGCAGGGGATGTGGAGGGACATTTGATGGGCTTAGTGGAAGGCCCCCCAACACCTACCCACTGATCACAAGTGAGCCAGACATGGGACACTTAGGAACTGAGTGTGTTATCTGTGCCAGAGGCTTTCCCTCCATGTAACTCTCACCCCAACTCTGGAAGGGATTTATCATGCTCCCACTTTGTGGGTGAGGAAACTGAGGGTCTGAGGGGACAAGACCAGCCTAAGGCGGTGCATCGCACTGGGAGCTGGGGGGCGGGTGGCAGTCTGAGATGCTGGGGTCTGTCTGTAGCACTGCCAGGAACCAGCCATCTGCAGACAGCGCCATGGCAGGGTGTGGGAAGCTGTGGGAGAAATCTGGCAGTGCCCTGGACCACTTAGACTCCGCGGGGACACATGCATGCCCAGACTTCCAGACAGATACATACACCCCATGCTCACAAACATGGACACACAGTCCTGCAGACAGGCGGCAGACGCAAAATATGGCATGGATTCTCCAGAACAGCAAAAAATCCAGAATCATTCCCCTCCAGCCGTGGGAGTATCTGGCTGATTGTGATGGCTGTTGTACCTTCCTCACTGGGACTGACTAAGGCTCCTATTAAATGCTTACATGGTGCCAAGCCTGTAGGTGCTGGGTGCACAGTAGGTGCACAGGGATAAGAATGGCTGTAGCCACGAGAGTAGGATATGGTGCATGTATTTACATGCGTGCGTGCATGCATGCGTTTGTGTGTGTGAAACCTGGGAAGACTTCCTGGAGGAGGCAGAGAAGTGAGCACACCCCCGCCATCCCCTGCCTTCCCACACCTGCCCACAATGCTCCTCACCCTACACCCCATGCGCCTCTCCACCTTCCCACACTGGCCCACCAGTTTGGCCCCGCCCTTCCCCCTGCACAGGAGGAAGCCTCGGGATTACACCATCAAGGTGCACATGAATTTGCTACTGGCCATCTTCCTGCTGGACATGAGCTTCCTGCTCAGCGAGCCCGTGGCCCTGACGGGCTCCGAGGCAGGCTGCTGCGCCAGTGCCGTCTTCCTGCACTTCTCCCTGCTCGCCTGCCTCACCTGGATGGGCCTCGAGGGCTACAACCTCTACCGGCTGGTGGTTGAGGTCTTTGGCACCTATGTGCCTGGCTACATGCTCAAGCTGAGCCTTGTGGGATGGGGTAAGTTGGTGGGGGTCTGAGTCTCTCCCTGGCTCAGGAGGGGTGTTGGTGGGCCCCCAGACCTGCCTCTCCTACTTGGCTTCTGGCTAAGTGAGTGCACCGTCCCCCTCCCTCCCACCACCCCCTGTCTGAGCTTCTGGCAAAGTTCAGCCACCTGTTTCCATTTCTTCACTTAACTCTCTGACTGGTCCCTCTGTTTCCTTCATCCACTCATCCTCAGGGGTCCTTCACCTTGGTTGGGTCAAGGTCGCCTTTAGGAAGGGGAGGCCCTGGGCCCTCTCCACAAGAAACCGTACATTTCCCCACATTGCTTGTTCTGTGCAATAGGGGTTTGCAGGCAGGGCTGTCGTGTACAGAGGTACAGGTTGTGCACTGCTCAGAAACCCAGCGTGGGTGAATGGAGCTAAATCCAGTCTCTTCCACTCACCTATTTCACCCAGGCTGGTGGTGTCCCTGCCTGGCAGTCCTCTTGAACCTCAGGGAACAGATACCCCATGGCTTTGGCCATGTTCTTGGCCGACAGCAGCCCAGTTCCCCTTTGGCCCAGGCTGCCTTCTTATCAGGGGCCTAGAAGGTCACACCATGAGTCCTGGACATTTCATGCCCCTCACCCCAACTTGCTCCTCCCCCTGTGCCTCTCACTTGTCCTCTTCTTCATATGACACCTTTCAGTGTCAGACCTGGGTGTTGACTGTGAATGACCTGACTCCTCCAGGAAGCTCCCTCTGTGGCTCATGGAGAAGGTTGAACCCCAGCCCAGACAGCCCCTGGGGGCAGAGCTCTGGGTCTCTCCCTTCAGCTCTCTCCCACCCACCAGTGCCCTGCCTTCTCTTGTCTCCTTATGACTCCAGCCCCTCAGCAGAGAGCTCTGGGCTCTTTCTCCTAGGGGCCCCGGATGGTGAGGGGATGGGGTAGAGTCAGGGGAGATGGGACCCACTATAGGAAACCCAGACTAGATTGGGGAGGGGGAGGAGCTAAGCTCAGGGACGAAACGGGGCAGGCTCTGGGAACACAGACTTTAGAGAAGGTCTCACTGCTGAGACCCCCATGAGGTAGAGGAAAGAGTGGGCCCTGGGAGCTGGAAAATGCAGCTCCAGGGTTTGGCTGCCTACAGGCTTCCCTGCCTTCCTGGTGACGCTGGTGGCACTGGTGGACATGAACAACTATGGCCCCATCATCCTGGCTGTGCACAGGACTCCAGAGAGCATCATCTATCCTTCCATGTAAGTGTCTGTATGGGGGCAGGAAGTTGGGCCTCAGGGAACAAAGGCCAGAGAGCAGCCTGGACTCAGGCCACAATGTCTATGAGACTCCTGGGTTCCAGGGTGTGGGAGACACTGGCCAGGGGGTGGCTGGAGCTCTGGGCTGAGGGTCAGGAAAGGTGAAGGCAGGCTTGGCTCTGCCACTCACCGGCTGGGTGACCTTGGGCACACCCTGGCCCCTCCCTGGGCCTCAGTTTTCCTGTCTGTGAATGGGGTATGGTTTAGAGCAGGTGAACCCCCACCGTATTCCTCTGTGGCACTCCTCTGTCTCTTAGTGGATGGAAAGACTTGGGTCTAGAGAAAGCACAGAGCCACTCCGGCCACACTGAGGGCCAGTGGTGGAGGCAGAACTGGACGCTCAGGTTCCTGAGCCCAGGCTGGGAAGGAATCCTTTCTCCTGACTCAGGGTTTAGAAAATTCTAGCCCTTCACTTCCTGATCCCATGAGTTTTGCCTTATCCTTGTACCACCTGTATCATTATTGTTCTTTATCTGATTTCTTAGCTTAAATGTATTCTTAAAAATTGTTTCTCAACACCATACATAGAGAATGAGGATCACTTGCATTAACAGCAAGAAAGTGCGAACCCAGACACAGTAACAATAAATTTAGTGATTAAATTCCAGCTTGACCCTTTTGCACACTGAAAGCTATAAGCCTGAGGCTGTTCTTTGTTGAGCAGAGAGACTAGCAAGTGTTAGAGACACTGAAGGCACAACAGAACCAAAGGGAGCCTTTCCTTTGACCAAGGGGAAGGAATAAGAGAAGTGAAAAGGGAGTGACTCTCACCTGTGCAGGGGTTCACTGTGGGGCACACTCCAGTCCAGGAAGCTGCGCCAGCCAGCCTGTGAGTTGAGCCCGCACACCTTGCCCATAGGTGCTGGATCCGGGACTCCCTGGTGAGCCACATCACCAACCTGGGCCTCTTCGGCCTGGTGTTTCTGTTCAACACGGCCATGCTGGGCACCATGGTGGTGCAGATCCTGCGGCTGCGCCCTCATGCCCAGAAGTGGCCCCACGTGCTGACGTTGCTGGGTCTCAGCCTGGTGCTCGGCCTGCCTTGGGCCCTGGTCTTCTTCTCCTTTGCCTCCGGCACCTTCCAGCTCGTGGTCCTCTACCTCTTCAGCATCATCATCTCATTCCAAGGTAGGCGTGGAGAAGACCCTGCCCCTGGTCCAGGCAGGGTGCCCGTGCATGGAGCACAGGGCGGGGAAGAGAGGACTGAGGGGACCTGAAGGCTTCCCTCTCAGCCTTCCCATCTGCAAAATGGGGGCATCCAGCTATAGTCAACAAGAGTTTGTTGAGCACCCACTGTGCGTAAGCACTACATAGCCCCGGGTCCACATTCGTGAGGTGGCCACGTCAGGAGCCTGCTTCCACAGAGTTCATGTTCTAGTGGAAGGACAGTGAAGCAGCAAGCCAGCAGCCACCAGAGGTGCTATCTGTCAGATGGGCACTGCCTGTGCTGGAGGCCAGGGAGGGCTCTGTCCCGGAGTCCTTGGAAAGCCCTGCCCCGCTCTCTGTGTGCTCTGAAGCAGGTGATTTAACCTTTGAGTCTTCGTTTGCTCATCATGAAATGAAAAGGACTTTGAGGATTCTAATTCATCCAGTCAACATTTATTGAGCCCATGAGCAAATCATAGTATTGTAATTTGGGGGAGAAGCAGTATGAGGTGCTGTTTAAACAGGGGGCTCCAAAACCAGGCCACCACTCTTTGACTCCTGGCTCTGCCACCCCTGACTTCCCTGGGCCTGTCTCTTTGTTTCTAAAATGGAATAATTGTGAACAGGACCTCACAGCACCCTTGAGAAAACAAAGTGAGAGGATGCGTGCCAAGGACTTAGTGCAGCACCTGGTGCATAGTGGGTGCTCCCGGGCTGGCATGCGGGTGCCCGATAGCATGTGTGGGGAGAAGGATGAGGGAGGGGACACAGGGCAGTGCTCAGTCAAGGGCTCTGGGAAGGAGGACACAGGGTGAGGGGCTGCTCCTGACCTGAGCCCCGTCCTCTCCACTGCCTACAGGCTTCCTTATCTTCCTCTGGTACTGGTCTATGCGGCTGCAGGCCTGGGGAGGCGGCCCCTCCTCCCTGAAGAGCAGCTCAGACAGCGCCAGGCTCCCCATCAGCTCGGGCAGCACTTCGTCCGGCCGCATCTAGGCCGCCAGCCCACCTGCCCAGCGTGAGGAAGCAGAGATGTGGCCGTTCCTCATCACAGGGCCCGCCCTTGGCCAGCCAGCCTTGGGGATTGAGAAGAAGCCCAAGCACCCTGGAGGGTTGGGCGGTTGTCATGGTGACCAGATTCCCAGAGTGGTTTTTCTAAATGGGTCTTGGGATGACTTGGCTCTTGAGTCCAGCTCCCAGTAGGCTCAGGAATGCGCAGCTATACTGACTGTGGGACCACCTACCTTGGCTGAGGCCAAGCCTTTCGTCAGTCTCGGCTGGGATTAGGACCTGCAGGCCCCAGGGCAGAATGTGGCCACGGCAGCTCTGTCTCTGGTGGTTACTACTTGGCATTCGCAGCCACCACTTTTGCAGCTCCTGTCATTTTAACCTGAGGCAAGGCAGAGTTTTGAACCAGACCCTGGAGGAGGAAAGGCCCCTCCTGTGAGCATAATGGCAGCTCCCCTACCTCTAAGCCTAGGGCCCCCTCCCTCCCTCTGCATCCCAACCTCCCCACCCATCCTGAGGGCTTCCCCAGCCCTCTAGCTCCCCCTAGGGCCTCCCTAGCCCTTACCCTCCCCTCCCAAGATCTCCCTAGCCCTTCCCCCAGGTCCGCCCACCGAGAGTCCCCTCAGCCTTCTACTCACAGCCTAGGGTCCCCAATTGTTATGCTGTATTTTGGGTAGTAGTTTCCAAGAGCCACCTTGTGCCTGCTGTAAACCTTTGTCTACTGCACAGGTCTCTGCCTGTCCCTGACTCAGGCTTAGTACAGATGTTCTTGTCTGGACTGGTCCATCTGTCCTTCTGGGTCTCTGTAAGCTGCATCACCCTTGCTCACACCTGCCAACCCTATACCTCACAGGGATTTCTGCAGCCCCCGAAGCCTTCTTGGGGCGTGAACTATGGAGGGTACCAGTGCCAGCTTTTTCTACTTCAGCACTCTGAAGACTGAGATGTACCTCCCTTGGGACACTGGCCTAGAGACCAGTGTTCTTAAGGGGTCATTTCTGAGTACCTGCAGACCACCTCATGCACACTCAGCTGTTCATCACAGTTGATTCTGCAGAGCACGCATTCATTAGTCTCTGGCTGTGTGTCCAGCCCTGTGCTCTGTGGTGGGGACACAGGCCCAGCCTCTCCCCTCCGTGAGTTCTCATTTGAGTGCATGAGGCATACTTTAGACATGACCTCCTGAAGCTATAGGCATGGGGTCGGGGAGCCATCGTCCCTGGCTGAGAATCCAGGAAGACTTCCTGTAGGAGAGTGCATTTGACCTCATTCTTTAAGATGGGGATGGTTTCCTTTTTAAGTACCAGTTCTTTTGTCTTCTGATTATTTAAGGGGGGCGGGGGAGAGGGGACATGTTCACTGTAGACTATTTGGAAACTGTAGAAGAGTATAAAGAAGAAAATAACCATCAGCTGTCATTGTCACCTAGCAAACCAGAGTAAACCTTTTGGAGCGTTTCTTTCTGAACCTTTTTTATGCTTCTGTTATAAGATTCATTGATTTGAGTGCCTTGGGGCCAGAGATAACAAGAAGGAGAGAAGAATGTGACATGTGTGAAAAAAATAAACTGCTGGAAATCTCATAAAATGGGGCAAGAATGGAGGATGAATGGTGTCAGTGTCCAGGAGACAAGAGGGAGCGGTGGGGTCTGGAGAACTGGAGATTGCAACCTCGCATTGCGGAGCAGCTGCCACTCACCTCCTGTTACTCTCCTGCGTGGACGAGAAATCCAGGAAAGGAGAACTCCAGAGGGCAGTATGAAATCCCCTAACTTAAAAAGAAAAAAAAAAAAAAATCACTGGCCTAATCACATTTGAGGGCTGCATTCAGTCTTTGGCTGGTCACATCATGGGCATAACCAGTGTTATGACCAGTCTGAAGTTGGTGGGCTGCCAAGAATGGTATGATTGGACTTTTCTCCTATCCCTGCCATCAACCTTGTTCCATCCAATCTCCGCTCCCCATCCCTTGAGGAGAAATGAGGCAGATCTCATAGGTTTCAGTCCCCGTTTAGTTACGAGAACGGTCATGCTTGCTAATTACTGTTTGTGTTCAGGTAGAAAAGTCCAGTCCAATCTAAATCAAAGCCTGACCTGGGTCAGCATGAGAGCTTTCTCCCCTCTGCAGTCTCCGCCCTCCTCACCTAGCTGCTCAGGTGGGCACAGGTGGGGCAAAGGGGCAAAGGATGGGAGTGGTGCCACCTTGAGGCCAGGGGTGGACTAGCTGTGCTCTTGGTTGATGGGCATCTACAGGTTGGCTTTTTTTTTGGTGGGGGGGGTCGTAGATGTGGGATCTTTGGGGGCCTGCAGGGAATGTGACATGAAGACACCCCCGTGATCCTCTGCCGACCCTCCTTTCTCCCGCCTCTTCCACTGGCCTAGCCACCCTTTTCTCCAGGCAGGGGAACTTCTCTTATGCCCCCCAACTCCTGAGGTCAGAAGCCAAACCTTTACAAGTTCCCCCCACAGAGTCCTAGTTGAGCAGTTCAGGGGGTCAGTGCAGCTCCCCTGCTTACAGGCCTCTGAGAGCCCTCATCACTTGGCTAGGGCCAGGTGTGGTGGTGGGAGGCAGGCCCTACCTCCCCGATCCTCAGTCAGGAAGGGAAAAGCCCAACCTCCTCCCACAGGCAGACAGCACTCCCCTCAAGCAAATTCCCCCTCATCAAAGAACTCTTGAATGTCTTGTTTCTGTTTTTGAGGCTCCAATCGTGGGGAGAGTGTCTTGGGTCTGGCCCCATGTTATGACATGCCTTGGTAGGGGCACCTGGCAGCTTGATGGGTTTATCATGCACCTTCCTGGGCTGTGAGGCTTAAGACCACAGGATCACTGTTCCCACCAGGACATGACAGGTTGGCACCTGGAGACATCCGTCTGGTGTGGAAAGAGGGTTAGAGTGGCCAGAAGGATGGCTGCTGGCCCAGTCTGGCCAGAGGATTTGAGGCCTTGTCCCTGGAGACATGTGTCTACCTGAAGCTGCTGGGACAAGCCTGGGGGTCTCAGCACACAGAAGAGAAAGCCCTGGCTCGGTTTGCCCCAGGAAAGGGGGTTCCAGGGCTTTGTAAGCAGCTCCATGTCAGTCCCTGATTGCCCCCCCACCGCAGGGGACCTTGGAGGAGGTTGTTGGAGAAGGGACTGTAGGGAGGGTAACCCTCTTCCTGGCCCTGCCCAAGCCTCCCCCAGCCCCTTTCCCAGTCCCTGGCCCCGCCTTCCAGCTGTGATGGGCGCTCTGTGTCTCTTTCTGCAGAGCCCAGGTCCTTCACAGAGAGGCACCCCTGAGCCCCTCTGAAGACCTGGCACCGTGGGTGTCTTAGTTCTCTCATGCTTCTATAACAGAAATACTACAAATGAGGGACTTTAACAAACAGCATTTTCTCACAGTTTAGGAGGCTAGGAGTCTGAACTCAGGGTGCAGCTCTAGAGGCAGGTTTGCTCTCTCTCAGCCCCAGAGAAAGGTCCTTGTCTCTTCGAGCTTCTGCTCCTGGGAAATCTGCATGTGACTGGCATCTCTCTTCCCCTGCTTGACTTGGCACCCTCTTCTCTGCTTCTTTAGCTTACTTGTTCAATCTCTTTCATACCTCCAAAGAGATTGATTTATGACATACCATACGCTCATCCATTTTAATTAACATAACAAAGACAACCCTTTCCCAAATGGGGTCATAACCACAGGCATAGAGGTTAGGATTTACAAACATGTATTTTTTTTTTTTAGGAACACAATTCAATCTATAACATTGCACCCTTTGCCTCCCTGCCCCCTGCCCCAATTTGTGTCCTTCCTACATGCAAAGCACATTGACTCTGTCACATCATCCCCAAAGTCTTCAGTCAACTCTAAGGTCAAAATCTCATTTTCTGAATTATCTAACTCACATATTGTTGTTGTTGTTGTTGTTGTTATGTGCCGTCGAGTCCGACCCGACTCATAACAACCCCTCCTTGGGTTTTCGAGGCAGTATCACTACGGGAGTAGATTGCCCCATCTTCCTTCCAAAGAGTGGCTGGTGGGTTTGAACCGCCAGCCTTCGGTTAGCAGTCAAGTGCCTTAGCCACTATGCGACCAGAGCTCCCAAATATAGGTGAGACTTTAGGTGTATTCTATCCTGGGACAAAATACTTCATCTGTGAAGCTGTGAAATCTAGACTACAAGTTATCTGCTTCCAGAGTACAGTGGTGCAAAAGATAGACATTTCCATGGCAAGTGGGAGAAATTGGAGGGAAAAAAGCGGTAATGAGCCCCAAGCACAGCTATAACCCAGCAGAAGAATTTACATTAGCTCTCAAGGCTTGAAAATAATCCCCTGTTCTCTGACACCATCTAGGCAACGGCCCTGCCCTCCAGTCTCTAGGTGCTGGCCATGCTGCATGGATTCTCGGTGGAGACCTCTCAACCCTGGGCTTGTTTCATCTCCCAGGCCCACTGGGACGGCAACTCTGCTCCCTCGGCTTTGGGCAACTCAATTCTCTTACCCCCTCTGAGTGATTAGTCCACACCCCTTTGAGCATCAGCCCCAGTCCCCTGACACATCTTACTGGCAGCACCACACTCCTGAACCAAGTCAGGAAAGATCTGACTCTAAAACCTGGGAGGTCTTGAAACTCTGAAGGCCTGTGTCCCATGCTCCTTCCAACAGTCATGCTGATCTCCAAGCTGCCCAGGGATGGTCCTTTTCTTTTCTTGGAAGACAACAGATGTAGCTCCTTTGGCCTGTTTCTTGCCTATAGACTTCCAAGAGGCAGATAGAGTTCTTTTGTTCTTTCTTTGTCCCCTTCAGTCTAAGTGGACGGTTTTTCTGCTGTGGTAGTTGGTTAGATCCATCAGTCTTAGGCTGGGTTCTCTGTTGTTGATGTTCAGTGCCATCAAGTTGACCCCAGCTCGCAGTGGCCCTGTGTACAACAGAACGAAGCACTGCCCACGCCTGCACCATCCTCACAATCCTTGCTATGCTTGAGCTCATCATTGCAGTCCCTGTGTCAGTCCATCTCG